CTGCAATTATTACTCTTTCTTTCTGAACCGTGGATTGAATCCGATGTGTGGCTGGCTCCATGTTTAGTAGTTCTAACTATGTTTTAACCTGTGAATTTTTTTCCTGATTAACTATTTATAAATTTAATATAAAATCTTTTTAAAATTTTTAATCTTTCTTGTTCTTGAAATGAAAATTTTTTCTCTCATTTTAAATTTTTATTTTAAAAAATTAAATTTACTTTCTAATAATTCTGTCTTATTTGTTTGATATAAATACAGTTATGACAAACGTGATCGTATTATGTTTGTCTGCTTTTTTGTTTTTTTTTTTTTTTTGGAATATGTATATGTTGTCTGAATTTAGTATTCCAATAAAGAAACAAGATAAATTTGATTGAATTGATTGAAAAAAAATCTATTGGATTAAATTTATACTTAAATTAGGATTTGAAAAATGAAATTTTATAATTTAAATATAAATTATTTTAATATTTTTTGGTTGTTAAGATCAAATTATTTTTATATATACTATTAAAAAAAAATATTCATGCCATACATATGTTAGGTAAATGCACACGCTGCACGTTATGATTAACTTTTTAAATAGATGTGTTGAAAAGATTTGAGGTCCAACAGTTGAATCTCCACTTTCTTAAATCTTACACTATAAAAAAAAAAAAAAGCACAAAATTATGGTAACCTATGGTTTTGATAAGTTTTGCATAGCCATTGGTAGGCTTTAGAAATGATGTCCGAAGATAAATCATAAAATAACACCTATAATGATGTATGAATGCTTTCCACGACGGATTTAGAAATTTTTTTATATTTACTTATAATATATATAATTGTTGATAAATTTATTAATTTTATAATATTTAAGGAAATTTTTTTAATTTTTATTTTATTTTTAAGATGTTTATAAAAAAATTTTGAAATATTCAGTGAATATTTTTTAATTTTATTATTTTTCAATTTTGAAAATATTCATAAACGCCTTCCCACTAATGATAATTTCGCCTTTCATATATCCAAATGATTTAAACCAATCATAAAATCCAAATAATGCGATAAAATATTGCTAGTAAATGCTAAAGAAGAGCAATTGTTATTGGTAACAGCCCATAGATTATAGAAGAAAAAAAAAAGGGTTTTGCTCTCAATTCCAATGGGTAGTTATGATTCAGTTGGGTTTCCACTAAGGGGAGGTTTAACCTCAATTCAAAATGAAAAATAATAATAAAATATATCCAATAGCCAGAGGTGGAGATAATGTTAAAAATTTATAATTATAAAAAAAAAAAAAACAACTTAAAATATCTTCTCCTACTACTTGCACTTGGTATATAGGTTCAATATCTATCGTTTCATGCCTTTAGGAATTTGTTGGGATAAGCTTTCAAAACGTCAGCCAAGTTGCCAGCAGCCTCTTCATAAAAGTTATGTTCCATTTTTTTTAATGAAGAAAAATGAATGAGTATCATTTTTTAATTTCCCTTGTTCCAAATGATAATAATGAAAAAAATAAAGAATAGCCCAAACTAGATTTTACCTTCAATTAGAAGCATTTTGGATCAAAGACACAATAATTTCCTGGTTAATGATGATTAATTGTACAAGTTAAATTGATCAAAATTTTTTATTATAAAATATTAGAAGGAAAAAAATAGAGACATTTTTAATACACCATAAAATTTTTTCCATACATTTCTTAAACTTTCTTTTAAAACTATCTATATAATAAATATCAATTTTAATTTTTAATAAATGATAAAAATATATTCAATAATTTATATACCCGAAAATCACCTACGTAAATCTCAAAAATAAATTTTTGAAAGCTATATTACATTATCAAAAATAGATTTTCGATAGTCATATTATATTTTCAAAAATTTATTTTTGAAAATACATAAATTTTTATTTAAATATATATTTAATTATAAAATTTTGATAATATTTTTAATTTTAATAAATAAATAAATTTAATATTAAAATAAATAAATATGATGTGTTAAGATCTCTAAACATTTCTAATCTAATTTTTAAGTCACTAGTATCTTAATGGTCAAAAGATTCTAGTGGTCGAAATATTTATTATCGGATTTTTTAGTCTATCAATGACATTATTAGAGTCAATGATTTATAATTTGAGCTTTGACTAACAAGCATATACACATATGAATTATCGATGTACTAATCTTTACTTGATTATATGTATGAATGAAAGAGACATATTAATTCTTAAATATGCATGAGTATAAAAATATTATTTTGTTTATGCAAAACTAAAAAATCAAAAAACAATGTTCTTGACTTTTTGAAAGCTTGAGAGAAATAATAAGTTTATATTATGTATATTGAGAGTATCGATTTTAATTTCATTCACACATATAATTAAGTAAATAGATTTATGAGTGCATAGTTAAGATTTTCGGTGATTAAAAATAAAAATAAAATTTTTAAAAATAAATATCCAAAAAAACTTAAAACTTTTTAAATATTCTATTTTAAGAAACTCAATTTAAAAAAGTGAAAGAAAAAAGATGAGAAAAATAGTAGAAATGAGAAATAAAAAAAGTGACAGATCAATAAAAATAAAAAAATTAAAATTTGAATTTGAAATATATTTGGAGGTAAGTATATAAAATAAAAAGTGGAATGTAAATAAAATTTCTCAAAAAAACAAAAAAAAAAAAGAGTAGTTAGGAAAAAGAGCACTCATACCAGTCAAGCAATTGATTTGAGCTTCTTTCATGGAGGACCAGTCAACAGACATTAAGGTCCCTCAGTTCTTGATCGCAGCAGGCATGGGCCTCAATCCGACTATAACTTTCCTTTCCAACCACGAAAAAGGGCTGAACCAGGATATTTAGAATCTGCATTTACAGCACCATGCAGGAATTTTCTACTTAACTTTTTTTCTTCGTTTGGGCTTTTGGTTAAAAAAAAATTCCTCTATTTTCCTATGCTCTACCAATTATTTCCGTGACTTTACAGGCAAAGCCATCAACAAGATGTGCTGCCAAAAGTAATGTCATTTTCATACAACCTTTTTCTAATTGTGCTCGAGTATTCCAAGTCAAGTTGGAAATTTTTTGGGGACATTACTTGGCGGTCCATTAATATGTTGCATCAATTATTTAAGTAGTTAACACTAAATTTTATGTGGGGATGGTTTTTTAATATCAAAAGTAGGATTAAAATCAATCATTTAGAGGCTAGCAGTGGATTGGTTTGATTAATTTAATCTTAAAAATAAATTGATTTAAAAAAAAATTAATAAAAATATTTTAAATGATAAAAAATAATCAAATTGAAATATATTGATTCTTTGAAAAAATCAAATTTGTTCATTATTGTTTTGTTAAAGTTTTTGGATGAAAAATATTACTCTCTTTATCTCTTTTTCTATTCATCTTTGCATTTTGAGATATTTCAAAATTATATATTTTTTATTAATATCTAAAATTATTTTTTTATTGATTATTCTATAGATTAATTGATATATCATTGGAGTTGATATTTTAAAATTGCAAGTTCAAGAGAGATTAAGCGTTTTTATTTTTTTATATTTTAAATTTATTTTTATGATTTTTTTATATTTTAATATTAAAAATAATGAAGCTTTAATTTTATAAAAAAATTTTAATTTTAATATTAAATATATTAAAATCAAAACTTTTTCTTAAACTCTTTAAAAATCAATGCATTTTTATGATTTCTTTATTTTTTATATTAAAAATCATGAAGCTTTAATTTTATAAAAAAATTTAATTTTAATATTAAAATTTTTTTCTTAAACTCTTTAAAAATCAATATATCTCAAATATTTTTATACAAAAGGAGTATATTTATCATTTTTAAAAATATAAATAAAATTATTTTTATTTATATTATAGATAATATATTTAAAATATTTTAATAATTTACAAAAATCACTTAATTTAATCAATTCAATTATTAATTTTAAACATTAAAAATTGATCAAATTAATTAACTAAACTACTTTCCTTCACTATTCATCACTGAGATCAAATGAAACAAACAAACATAACCAAATTCAATGGATTCTAATCAAAAAGTCTATTAGAACCTATCTATGCCCACCCCTATAGCCAGCCAACAAAGACTTTCGTTGCAAGTCCTTCCGAAGTCCAGAACAATGAGTTGTCATAGTACATTTCTTCTTTAATTTTTCCTCTTTTTTATTTTTTTAGAATTAAATAGTGATTTAATGATAAAGACTATCAGAATTAAATTCAAATTATAGAATTTAATTTTAATTATTAAAATTAAGTGAATAATATTTTAACAATAAGGGAATAAAAGTAATAATAATTTTTAAATAAAAGAGAAAAATTACTCAAAATATAAACTCTGAAAATTAACCTTTAAATGATAAATACCTCTCACTTTGGACAAATGTTCCATGATAATTTGGAAGATTTTTTTTTAAATTTTCTAACAAAAAAAGCCTAAAAATCCAAAGATTTGAACTTTTGAAATTAGTAGAGAAATTTATGCACAGAAATTATAATATTCCAAAAAAAAAGCTTGAAATAGGAGAAAAAAAAGAGTAGCTTATTTGATTTAAATTTGATAATATAAAATATGATAGGATGATATAACATAAAAATAATATAAATAAAAAATAAAAAAATGATATGATTTAAAATTTTATCAATAATTATTAATATGTTTAATAAAATTTAAAAAAATATTTTTATTTTTTATATTAATATAAATTATAATATATAATTTTTATATAAAATATGATAGAATATATAATTATTAATATATGTTATAAAATTTAAAAAATATATTTTTTATTTTTATATTAATATAAATTATAATATATAATTTTTATATAAAATATGGTATGAATATATAAATTATTAATTTTTTATAAGATAATTGACAGATTTATTAGATTATATATGTTGTTGCTTGTAGGAGTTTGGGTGCTTTCCTTTATAAAAGCATAAAGGCCAAATCATACCCAATAGTGAACAGCAATGCGGAAACTCAAACCAACCCAACTGTTGAAACACTTTCCCTCCTCTGCTCTTCATGTCTTGACTTATTCAACTTCTAACTACCTTAACTGTCACTTAGATTTCTTCCTTTCCACCAACAGCTTCTCATCAACTCTTCAATCCCTTCTCCAATCCCATGCTCTCATTATCACCAGCGGCAACTCAAACCATAACATTTTCATTGCCTCAAAGCTCATCTCTTTATATGCCCTTTTCAACAAACCCCATTTTTCCACCAAAGTTTTTGATTCACTTTCCATCATAAAGGACACTTTTCTTTGGAATTCAATTATCAAATCCCATTTCTCTAATGGAAACTACTCTGAATCTTTTGACTGCTATCTTAAAATGAGGTTGTGTAACACCCCACCTAATGATTTCACTATTCCCATGGTTGTTTCTGCCTGTGCTGAGCTGAGGTGGGAAGTTTGTGGGAGATATGTTCATGGGTTGGTCTTAAAATTTGGCCTTTTCGCAGAGAATTCCGCGGTTGGGTCTTCTTTTGTGTATTTGTATGCAAAGTGCGGCTCAATGGGGGATGCTTGTCTTGTGTTTGATAAAATTATTGTTAAAGATGTTGTTGCTTGGACAGCTCTTGTAATTGGGTATGTACAAAATGGGGAGAGTGCGAAGGGTTTGGAGTGCCTTTGTGATATGCATAGAGATGGTGAAGAAAGGCCAAATTTTAGGACTTTGGAAGGTGGGCTTCAGGCTTGCGGAAATTTGGGTGCTTTGGACGAAGGTAAGTGTTTGCATAGTTTCGTGGTGAAAACTGGACTTGGGTTTTATCCAGTTGTTCAATCTTCGATTTTATTTATGTATTCTAGGTGTGGCAGTGTTGGGCATTCATATGCTTCCTTTTATGAAGTTGTCGATAAAGATATTATCTCATGGACATCGGTTATTGGTGTGTATGCTAGATTTGGGTTTATGAAGGAATGCTTAGATTTGTTTTGGGAAATGCAGGATGATGGTTTATGTGCAGATGGAATTTTGATTAGTTCAATCCTTTTGGGTTTTGGGAATTTCATGAGTGTATGTGATGGAAAGGCCTTTCATGGATTAATCATAAGGAGGAATTTTCTGTTAGATCAACTGGTCCATAATGCATTGTTATCCATGTACTGCAAGTTTGGACTGCTATCTATAGCAGAGAAGCTCTTTAGCATAATACCTAGCCATAGCAAACAGTCCTGGAATATAATGGTTGCTGGATATTCTAAGATGGGACAAGAAGCAAAAACAATAGAATTGTTTAGGGAGATGCAACAACTGGGTGTTGAAATTGATTCTAACACCCTGGTCTCTCTGATCTTTTCATGTTCTCAGCTAGGAGCAATCCACATTGGTCGCTCACTTCATTGCCACCTAGTTAAAAGTCACATGGCTAACAACGTTTCAATTGCCAATTCTCTCATAGATATGTATGGGAAAAGTGGAAATTTAATCATTGCACGAAGGATATTTAATCAAACAAGGAGAGACGTTATCACATGGAACACAATGATGTCAGCTTATACTCGTTGTGGGCATTTTTCTGAGGCTATTGCCTTATTTGATCAAATGATTTTGGGGAACTTGACTCCCAACTTGGCAACATTGGTAACTGTGCTTTCAGCTTGTTCTCATCTTGCATCATGGGAGAAAGGGGAAAGGATTCATTTTTACATCAAGGAAGGAGGATATGAGATCGGTCAATCTCTTGCTACTGCATTGATTGACATGTATGCAAAATGTGGGCAACTTGAGAAATCGAGAGAGTTATTCAATTCAATGAAGGAGAAGGATGCAGTTTCTTGGAATGTGATGATTTCAGGTTATGGGATGCATGGAGATGCAAAATCAGCACTTCAGATTTTCCAGCAGATGGAGGAATCAAATATTAAACCAAATGCTCTTACCTTTCTTTCTCTTCTCAATTCTTGTGCTCATGCAGGCCTTGTTGAAGAAGGGAAGTTTTTGTTCAGTAGAATGGAACATTATTCTGTAAAGCCGAATTTGAAGCATTTTACTTGCATGGTGGACCTTCTTGGCAGATCAGGTAATCTCCACGAAGCTGAAGCCCTGGTTATGTCAATGCCCATCACACCTGATGGAGGTGTTTGGGGAGCTCTGTTAAGTGCTTGTGTTGTTCATAATGAAATTGAGATGGGAGTAAGGATAGCAAAGCGTGCTATTGATTCTGATCCTGAGAATGATGGGTACTATATTTTGATTTCCAACATGTATAGTTCTATGGGATGGTGGGAGGAGGCAGAACAGGCCAGAGAAATATTGAAGGAAAGGGGCATAGGAAAAAAAGCTGGTTGGAGTGCAATGTAACATAAAAAAAAAGACATCCATTCTGGTCCGGGAATTTCTCATGTACCTTAAAAATGTGGGCTTCCAGGATCCGCTTACGTTTCAGTCGATGACACATGGCTTGATTTGTTCAGAACTGTCACATGCTTCACCTGAAAAAACGAGGCCTGAACTGCAACATATTTAGTTTGCAGGTACTTTATTCATCTCACATTTCAGCCTTTTCCTGCATTTAGTTGTTAGAATTTAAGGTAAACATTATTTGCTAGCATGCTGATGAAAATCACATAGTATCTTTTATTTAAGGAATTCCCTTTGTGCTTTAGAAAATATGGACTTCTCTGCTTATTGTTCACTGACAGAACAGATGGCTTGATGGGTTCAGGGCTGACGATTGGTTCACCTAAAGCATTATGCCCACACAGCAGTATGCTAGCATAGATTTCAGGTACTTTCCTCACCTTGCATTTCGGCCTTTTCATTCCTCCAAGTTTTTGCGGTTTTCAGTTACTACTTTTGTTTCATTCCTAGAATGCTCATGAAAAACATATCTTATCTTGCAAGGATTTGCATTTTTCTCTTTTTGCTGGGATATAAATATTAAAAAAATATATTTGAGATTTTTATTAAACTTGATAATTTAAAATAAGATACGATGATATTATACGAAAAAGATGCAAAAATAAAATACGAAAGTGATATGATTTAAAATTATAATAATAATAATTATATATAGTTGAATAAAATCAATAAAATATATTTTATATTTTTATGTCGATACGAATTATGATACGTCATTTTCGTATAAAATATAATATAAATATATAAATTTTAATATTTTATATGACACGAATATACAAATATTTAGGTTTATTTTTTTCTCAATGAAACATTCAAAAAATTAAGAAAATTTGTAACTCTCAAAATCCTATCTTGATTAAAAAGGGAAACTACCACAAAATTAAAAAAGAAAAAGTAGAGTGACTAACTCATGTGCCATGGACTATGCCAATCCAAGATTCCAATTATACGGCTATCTAGAAAGTGGGAATAGAATAAAAGTGAAATATATTTTGTAATATACTAATGTTCAATTAAAAATTACTACTTAAATAAAATTTCTCTATACAAAGATAGAAACAATGAAAAAGACCATGAGGAGACAATGTTGACATTTCCCAAAGGCTCATCCTAATTGGTCTGCCCTAACAGCCATGTACCACCTCTTTAATTGATTCCCAAAATTTCTCATAGACTTTGTCCCGCAAACAAACAAAAAACTAAGCCAAACTTTGGACCAGACATTAAAGTGTTGTTAGGCAATGATGCCGATTTTTTTTTGTTTTATATTTTATGTTTTTAAAAAATTTTGTTTTATTTTATTTTTGTTAATTTGTTGAAATTGAAAGCATTTTTGAAAGTTCTGACGTTCCCATAGATTTTGTCCCACAAACAGATAAAACCGAAGCAAACTAACACTGTCTGTCAGAAAACCAATCAAATCCCTCCACGTCATCTTCCTCTTCGTTTAACCTTAAAGTCTTCTCTCTTCTGCTTTTTTTTTTTTTTTTTGTCAAAAAAACAATGTCTAAGTGTTTCAGCCTCACTGCAACGCGGGACTGGTGCTACCGTCGCAGCTTCTCCAACGCTGGTCTCCGCTCAACAACGATGGACCTCGGAGACGGCACCGTCATGCACGTTTGGACCCCCAAAACCCATATCCAATCCAAGCCCACGTTAGTCCTCATCCACGGCATAGGCGCCAACGCAATGTGGCAATGGAACGATTTCATTTCACCTCTCATGTCCCGCTTCAACGTCTACGTCCCGGACCTCCTCTTCTTCGGCGACTCCTACACGACCCGATCAGAACGGTCGGAGCAGTTCCAGGCCCAGTGTGTCATGCGGGTCATGGAGGCCCACGGGGTTACAGTTATGAACGTTGTTGGGCTTAGTTATGGTGGCTTTGTTGGTTATAGTATGGCAGCGCAGTTTAAGGAGAGAGTTGAGAAGTTGGTGCTAGGTTGCGCTGGGGTGTGTTTGGAAGAGAAAGATATGGAGGAAGGGATCTTCAAAGTGAAGAGTGTGGATGAGGCTATTAGTATTTTGTTGCCCCAAACGCCGGATAAGATAAGGGAGTTGATGAAGATTTCGTTTTATAAGCCTGCTAAAGGACTTCCTTCTTGTTTTCTAAACGATTTCATCCATGTGAGTAAAGCTACTCTAATCCATTTTGATCATTGTTTTTTCTTTTAATTAGGTCCCAGTATGAATCAATAAATGGTGCTAGATTTTTGGGTTTTTTTTTATAATGGTTGGTCCAAGGATGAATTGATTTTTGTTTTTAAAGGTTTACACTTTATAGTAATACTTTGTTGTGTTAGGGTGGGAATGTAAGTTAATTAATATTTTGATAGTCATTTTTTAATAAAAAGAGGTTTCAGGTTCAAATCTTTTGGAAATATATGTCTTGAGTTGAAAACCTGAAATGGCGAATTGAATAATTGCTGGAAAAAACATACTTTGAGTTGTTAATGACAAGGTCATATGCATTGCAAGGGAGTAGTAGAAGCAGAGCTGTTTGGCTGCTACGGTGTTTTAAGAGTGTTACCTGCTGAAAACAGAGAGTCTAAGGAAACAATAGTGAAAACTATTGGTTCCATATTGGACATTCCAATCAGGATTTTAATGAGGAATTAGAACCATTTTTTGTTCATATAATGAATTTTGGAAACTTAATTGCTGTTGCATTTGAAGTTCTTTTCTGATAAGAGAGAATCAATAAATCTGCTAATTTGTGCAAAGCACATGTCAAATATTTTTCTACTATCATGATCATTGTTAGTGGTTTATATACCCAGGTGTTCACTTCTATGCACCTGTCAAAGAAAAATACTAATTATCATTTGTTCTCTTTTGCTAGTTACATCATTCAAGAATGATGAGGAGTCAAGTGTCAATATAGCGATTAAAGGTTATATGATGTTCCAAATTCTTCTATAATCTGGCTGTCACCTTGATAGAGGAAAAACTTAGTTATAGGAAAATGGTTTCAAAAAGTTTATGAGGAGATGATACTTAGCTTCATAGGCCTTTTTTCCTGATTTTAAGATAGGTTTAACTTGGTTAGACAGTATCAAAATTTATTTTGTTGATTCCTGTTGTTTTTGTTCCTTGACTGATTGTGATCAGATCATTTCTTTAGGTGACTGCTGGTCAAATTATTGTCCAGTATTCCCTCTAATTTTGACCATAATGTTAAGATAGTCATCAAAGTTTTAAATTTTGTGGACCTTGAAAAAATCTACAGTGACTGTTAAGTCATTAATACATCTTGTTGATCTCTCTGCCACGTTGATGTATGTCATATGCAGCTGAGTGATCTAACTAGCTATTAGGTTTCTCTTCCCCATAGTGCTTCTTGTTTTTCATTTAAACTTTCAACTTTTTCTTGATATTAATGTTAGTCTTGGCAAGGAAGCAAGAGTTTTCTCTTACACTATTGCTTTAAGTTTTTGTTGGAAATTCAATTTGTTGGCAGGTAATGTGCACAGAAAACCTTCAAGAGAGAAAAGAATTGATCCATGCATTACACAAGGACAGAAACCTGTCGGATCTTCCAAAGATCACCCAGGTTATTGGACTTTGCTCAGAATTTTAATCAACGCATCCTGTACTATATAGCATATTTTTTAAGAGTTCTGTGTCTGGGCCTTTACTGAGTAAATATTGTTCTTTTGTGCAGCCAACACTAATAATCTGGGGAGAATATGACCAAATATTCCCTTTGGAATTGGGACACAGATTGAAAAGGTCATTCTGAAGGACTAAATAAGCATAAGACATCACCACATCAGTATCTGCTTTCTACTCTTGTTAACTTTTTGCTTACATGAAAGAACATCCAAAAAGTATGACTTTGGAGCCTAACCAGCTTGGACTGATTTCTGAAGTTAAATCTAATGACGTAAATTAAAAGAAATTTCTAAATGATTTTATTTAGAGCTTCCTTCCAGCATCCTAGTATCTTTTTGCTTTTTCCTTTTTTTACCCGAGTCATGAAATTGATTTTGTTATTTACGCAATGTTTTGACCTTTTGACTTGGCTGGAGTATAATGGTGACCATATGCTGCCCATGCAGGCATCTGGGAGACAATGCAGAACTAGTGATCATAAAGAACGCAGGGCATGCCATCAATGTAGAGAAACCAAAAGAACTATACAAGCACTTCAAATCTTTCCTTATTGATCTGCTCCTGCCTGCTAAACCGGGAAACTATATCAATGGCGGAAAAACAGATTGAAAGGTATGCAAAACACTGAAGATAATCCAGGAGTTGCTGGTTTCTCACATAAGCCTTCGTTTAGGGATTTGTTTTGTTTTGTGGATGAATATAAACAGTATATTTAAATTTAATGAAATTACTTGATTTTTATAGTTAAAAGAAAAATAGGCAAATTAAGGTGATGGGAATTTATGAGCTATATATCACACCTAAAAGGGTTAGCAAACTACTTACTTATAGAGTCTAATACCACAGGTGAATCCTTGGTTTTAATTCTGTTATCAGAGATGAATTTATCATTGGCTGGTGCTTGCTACTTCCTTTTATTGGTGTCCAGTCATTTTGCTGAAAATGTCATGACCTATTATCACCATTTACGCTGAATGTCCTTGCTCGTCTTTCCATGCCTTTTCTATATAACTAGTGTGCTGATTAAATATATTTGTATTAATTTATGTTTTACTTTTTTCAGTTAAATCACATGCAATCCTTCCCGACCATTCATATTCAGATGAAGACACTTGTTACATAGATTAAGCATGCTTCTAGCATTTGGAATTTATGTATGAATTCTCAAGCACAATGGCATTAAAGTTGCAGAAGAAAATTTCAAAGAATCAAAAGTAGATTTGGCCGGTGACATTGGTTTCCTTTTACTTCTCTGCAAATGCCTAATACCAGCAACTTGAAAAGTATGAACTGGGAAGTTGTTTTTAGAACAGGACATGACATTTGAAGCTTGTTTTAGACATTTAATCTGTAGAACTCTTAGATTCTTGCTCCAAAATGATTGTTCATCTTTATATCATCAACTTTTATCCCTGCTAAATTCATTCAAGTTTTTAATAGTCATCTATGTCTATGTATATTATTAATTTTGTCAATTTTCTTAGATCTCTGTATTAGTCTTGTTCTACCTTTTTCATGTTGGTCTACTTCATTTTATAGCAGCTTTATAATTCTTCTATAGAAGGTTTGGCTGCATGCATTCTGATAAACCATATCTCAACTACGGAAAGAACAAGGCCTAGCCCAGAAAAAAAAAAAAAAGGTTGATAATTTGTCCTACCTGCCAGGATCAATCTGCACTGGATTTGGCACTTTGCAATTTGACATTGGATCAAATTTTGTTTACATATGATCATTTACCAAATATCAATGTACCAATCATAACCGGAACGTTGCAATTAAGTTCGCTTGAATTATAGAGTATTCTGAAGAGGATACCTGGTTGCAATGGTGCAGCAATATTCTAATCATCCATGCTTCCTTATCTGATAAACATCATCTACCACTTGTCTACTTTACAGCATTTCCACGTCGGAGTAAAGTTCCTAGAGTCTATCCTAAACCTTAGAACATTCAAATGAAGAGGGCATGCAGAAGAAAAGAAAAAAAAAGTTGGAAAATCAAATGGAAAAGCAAGCTTCAGAAAGACAAAAGGGAGAACCTCTCCCCATGGGCCATGGCCCTTCTTCCTCTCTTTCAAGCAGCAATACAGAAAATCAGATCAGCCAAGAGTCCCAGCCAAATCTTCCCTGCAAAACCAGTGAATATCAATTTCATATCAAAAATTCATTTTACACTTTATAACGCTTCACCTTTTAGTTTTGTTTTATCTTCTACCTAAAAGAAGCTATAACTTTACAGCCCAAGACAAATTCCATTGGCATATTCCACCCCAAAATTAACGAAATCATACGTGGTTTAGCAAAACTGAATTTCACTTTCTTGCAAAAGCGTAAGCATCTGGTACGCCATCTGCCCACTACCCACCATTTCCACATTAATCAACAAAAAAGGAAAAAAAAAAAAAGAGAAAGAAAAACTTACAGGTTGTTAATGATGTGGAACTCCCAATAAGATCCTCATAATCCTGAATAGGATTGTAGTTATTGTGGCAATCTGTACTTGTATTGAAACCATTGTTACATGTACATACAAATGAATTACTAGGAGGAGAATATCCACAAACACCACCACTATCCTCACAAGTATTGCATTTGTTGTTCATGTCATAATCATCAAACGCTCCATTTGTGTACTTCAATTTCACCCCATACTGCCATTTACTAGGGTCCGTTGGAGAATCCTGAAAGGAGGCAATCGATGCATACCCTATGCATTTCATTGCACGTAAGTCCAACTCACCTTTGCTGTTAAAATTCGCCGGCGAGTACACGCAGCAGGTGTTGGTAGGCGGGAAGAGTGGGAGGCCGAGGCTGACGACGGAGGGACAAGTGTAGATAGAGGCGCAGAGGTAGGAGGAGGAAGGATCACAAACAGGAGAGCCCTTGATGGTGAGGGAGGACGTAGGGGGAGTGCATGAAAGGAGGAGGAAAATTGATGGACCTAGCTGGAAAGGGCTAGTCCAGTCAAGGCCCAAGTTGGGTGATGGTTGCATGGAGTTGCACGTTGACATGTAGGGTGTGGTGGTGGTAACTGTTGAATCTTTGTAAGACACAGAGGTGATGAGATAAGAGCCTGTGTGGGTTGTTAGCATGAGCTGATCGGAATTGCAGGTTACATAGGGTTGAAATCGGGGCGAGCCGCAGCCGTAGCCGGTGCCAAAAGGGTACTTGACCTGAATAGAGCCACATGTGGACCGGCATGCTGTGTCTGGGGCTGAATTGTGCAAGGGAGTGATGAAGAGAGTGATCAAGAGGATGATGATGGGAAGAGGATGACCATCCATTGGCTTAAGTTTTTGGTATACAACTCCCTCAGACGAAAGCGAAATTCCTGAGAGCTTTTCACCATAAAGCAAGTACGCCAAAAGGGATAATAAGAAACTGAATCTTTTCATTTGAGCATCTGATAAACATAAACTATATCTCTGTTTAATCGAATCATTATCCGACAAGAATCTTTCTTACAAGTTTGCTTAGTTGAAAAGCCAACCAGAACCTTTGTAGGCGACCAAAGCATTCTGAAAGCAGAGGTTTGTGGATTCAATTGAGCTGAGATTCTTTCAGGATAAAGGGGTGGAGCAGGTAACTTTTTTCTTGGCAAACAAAAGCCTGTTACATCACTAACATGTAGCAGCCATTGGCTTTAAGCCTTCCAGGTTGAATTGAAACTCAAGCTGATAAAAAATGGAGGAGCATTAATATGTGATGAGCATGGATGGCTTAAACAGGACATACAATTTATACACAAAGTTTATAAATTCACCATATGCCAATATGCCATCAACCATGTCCACTTCGACGGATCAGAATCGTATTAATAAAGAAATATTGTTTCTATCGGGGATCTATACAAAAAATTATTTATTTATATAAATAATTGTAAGTGTTAAGATATTAAATTCAATTATCAATTTATTCATCATATTTTAGTTAAATTCATTACCTGATTCAAAACATGAAAATTTATATTTTAGTAAATAAAATTTGAGTATAATTACAAAAAATTATATACTCAAATTTATTGTTTTATTTGAAATTATCAAAGATTAAAATTTAATTACTGAGATTAAAAATTAATCACTTTACCAATTATAAACCACAGAATTATTGACAATTTGATGGACATAGGATGCAACACCAATGGTAAATCACGTCAAAATTCTTCATATCAATCGAACGGTGGAAATCTAGGTTGCAAAATGACGCAAACCTACAAAGAAAACCAGAGAATAAAAGCTCTATATGTGGAGGCCCTAACCTCATCCTTCACCTGCGTTGTGTTCCTGTTTTTTCTTCTGCGCACCACTTCACCAAATCCTCTGTCTCTTCCTACTCAGAGAGAGAGCAAGCCACTTTGTAGCCAAACAAGGTTCGCTTTTTCGTTCCTTATTTTTGCCCTAATTTGGAATTTAATTTCTCTATTTTTATTTCTCTTTTTGCTATAAATTCGTCATACCGGTTTGTTTTAGCTCTTGAAATACTGAAAACTTTAGTTTTATATCAATTTTATTATATAAAAATTTTGTTATTTATGCATTTTTGTTTGACAGTTTGGTTTTTGGGTGGTGGATAGTTAACCCTAATTGATAGAGAATTTGGAGTACTTTGCTTAGCATTTGGGTAGTTTTTTTTTTTTTTTTTTGAAACGTTTAAAAAAGACGTTTCTTTTCGCTTCTAATGGAAGAAAGAACGGTTTTTTTTTGGATAGAATGGTTAGTTAGTAGGAATAACTTGGGAAAAAATGTGTTTCAACAAGCTTCCGTAGTTAAAATCTTCAAGGAAATAGAGATGTATATCTAAATTAAAACTAACTTTTGAAGGCATGAATTCGAAAAAGAATGTAAGTTGGCCTTGAAACAGTGAATAATCATACTTGTTTAATGCTATTTGAATAGAACCTTTGTTTCTAGGGTCAGAAAATGGTTAGTGAAGTTTTGCCTAATGTTGCAATCTTTGGGACTAGTTTGCTTGTCTGAACAAAGCAAGGCATTCAAAACTTGGAAATCTAGCCGCTGATTTTTTTTGGTTGTTTAGGCTTTTGCACTGTTAAGGGTAATTGTAGCTTTATTATAATTTTGCCACTAGCTGTCTAGTTTGTTAGTAGAATACTGGGCTCTTAGTTCTAGTGACCAGGTTCAGTCCTTGGTAGCCTCAAATACCAAAAAAGTGGTTTTATTATAGTGTTAAAATGCTTTGCTTATCATAACAAGTAATGAAATACATGGCCTTTCCAATAGTTGCCCGTATTTTCCATAGAGCGACTTCTAATTACGATTTTAGATTTGTTATAGTGAGCAGTGAAGTGTGCACTTCAATACTAGGAGTCTACCAGTTTATTTTTTTTATTTTATTTATTCTTGTCACATATATGATAATTGTTTGAGTTGATGTGAACAGTGACCATGAGAATAACCCCTGTATCCTTGGCATTATTTTGATTGAAACTCTTTTGGTATTGCATTATTGATGGATGAAACGAAAGTCTTGTTAATTTATTTTTTATTTTATTTTATTTTCTAAGGATGCATTGTATTGAGCTTTGTTCATTTCATGGTGCTGTCAATCAATTCTGAACTTCTTGTTTTTCATTCCAGGGTACATTAAATTTTAAGTTTTTATCTATTTCAGCCTGCCAAAGGCCCTTCAGCATAAACTTAAAACCAGGTCCTCTATCCTCATATTGGATGGCTATTATACCTTGTGGAATTACATGTGTTGCCCAGTGGGGTATTCGTCCTCAGTTTACCATACGGTCTTATGTTCCAAACCGAATAATGACAGTGCAATCCAGGTAAGTTTTCTGCTTAGCTCTTTTATGTATGGAAGGGGAATTACTGAATTTGACTGTCCGACTACAATTATGTTCTTCTAGAGCTTTATATCGATACGGAATTGCTGAATTTGCAATGTCATTGCTGGTTGTGGTTTTTATTTTTATGGTTTTTTCATCAGCTTGCATTGTGTTTGTGAATTTTTCATGCATAGCATTTTGGTGAACTTAAGGATTAGATGGGCAGATTTACCCACTTTTTAATCCCTGTTTTGCTTGTTTCTAATTGTTGTGTTGATTAAAGAGGGGGGGTGACAAAGAAAAAAGTGAGGGTGTATTACCTCCATAATAGTCTATTTTTTGGTATTTATGGAAGAATAATTTAGGTGTTTATTACCCTTTGCAGGGTAACAAGTACAACGAGTTATTTGGGAGCACCAAGTTCAAGTTTATTTTCACGTGATTCCTTACCATTTTTATCCTTTGTGGGGTCGTCTCGAGCATCACATCGTCATAGGGGGGCACGGTTCATCGTTAGAGCTGAAACTGTGAGTATAAACCTCCAGTTTCTTTTGCTTTTTTTTTTTTGGTTGAAAATAGATGTTGTAATGGGTTTTCCATAATTTAATTATATATTTTTGAAAATTTCAGGATGCATTTCATTTTTTTTTTTGCTGTAGTTTACAGCTTGCTCACTGTTCCATTCTCAATTTAACATGATAATATATTATACTGAGCAGGATTATTATTCTGTCCTTGGGGTGTCAAGAAACGCAAGTAAATCTGAAATTAAAAGTGGTATGCTGACTTACCGTACCTTGTTCGGTTACTGTTCTATTTTATTCCTTATATCATTGTTTATGGTATTCTTGTGCTTATTTTTGTTTGCTAATCTATTTCTTATTTATGGTTTTGCAACTTATTGAAGTTAACTTTACCCAGCTTTAAGGGTTTCTGCATTGAAAGTTTTAAAACACTGTTGCAGAAGCTTCAATTTTCACGGACAGTAGGTGTTAATAACATAAATCAAAGAGAATTTAGAGAGGATGGATGAATGTGAAGAGAGATTAAGACACATTCGAGGATATAACTAGGTACACTACACATGGCAAGCATGTATAGAAGTTGAAAAAATCACTCCATTTTTTTTGGATAACAGTAAGGCATGTGCTTACTGATTCAAGGGGAAAAACAAAATGAATGCTTGCAAGTCTTAGAGAGAAATGTATGCCAATGGGTCAAATAAGGTGAGTTGACATGTGGTGGTACACGATTAAGGTTCCTTCTGAACAAAAGGAAGTCTCTTTTAGGTGTCTCAACTATTTGAAGGAAAATTTATGATTGTCTTGCTTGATTGAAGCTTTAAAATGGCTGAACTGCAAACTTACATGTATGTACAAGTGATTGATCATATGTAAACTATATTCTCGTTTTTGTCGTATGTACTCCAAGAGTAAACTTAGTTGTTTCGGTTGCTACTTTGTGCGTTTATCTTACTGTTGTTAAATCTTTTATTTTTCAGCTTATCGGAAGCTTGCTCGGAGTCATCATCCAGATGTGAACAAGTCAGTTGATAACCTTGTACCTCTTGCCTTTATTTATGGTTGTGTCTCTTATACGTGTATATCTCACATTTATGACTTACGTGATTTGTACATCAGGTGGTAAACGTATATGTAATGTGCATATGTAGTCGTAGGACACTTGAGCTTTAGTTGCATATGGTTCAGATAAAAGACATGAGATGATTACATCAGGAAGTTGTAATTTTCTGGATTTTTGTGGGATTTGGTGTGATGCAATCCGAGAACTGGATTAGGATTGCAAGAATCTGCTCACTGGAAGTTAAGCTCAGAAGAAAGAAAGAAATAATGACATCTCAAAATGGCACATTATTGACCCATACAATTCATTAGGAAAAAACTGTGTGAATATTTGGGCCATGGTGTTGTGGTTAGTCTGTGAGAATCATCAATGTTTCTTTCTCTAATTTATTCTCCTTATTTTCTTCTTTTCCATTTTTGGATCCAGAGATGGTACAAGTTGTTTATCATAGAAGTGAACACAATGATGTTCAGAACAGAGGCTTCCCTCATTCTGGTTGAATCATAGCATTTAGTTTTCTTGTGATGTTGTCAATTATAGGTTTCATTAGTCCTAGCATGACATTGTTACTAGGGAAATTCTGTAATAAGTCGGGTTCTAATTCCCCAAGAGAACATATTCATGATATGGATTGACGTCCACTTATTTTTCGTTTTAATAACCTCATCTCAGGATGGATAATCAGCTTGAAGATTTCTGTAGATGTAGCACACTGTCACCTTCTCTTATGTATATTAAGTTGCCTAATTATTTTGTCAATAAGGGATGTCTATCTACTTTATGTCCTAAGCTGGGGTTTAAAATAAAAATTGATGGTAACTTATCCAAATTGAGATCTTAAATAGTGGTTAGAAGGTAAATGTGGTTGTTGAAAGAAAGAGAAAATAGAATAGCAGTCATAGGTTTCCTGAGTTAGATATTTGTTGAATTTGTGTTCGTATATTTCATATATTTCTAAATGTAATTGCTGAAAGGGAGAGAACGCTATGTGTAGATTTCTGACTCTTAGTCAGATATATTGTCTTTTGAAGTCTTCGAAAATAGTTTGTTGTTGCTAGTTAAAATATCTTCTATGGAAAAACTAAGAAATAAATCTGTGTAGAAAACTAAGAGAAAAACTGAATGTATATTGAAAAACTGCTCATTAAGAATTATACAAAAACCTTAGGTTTATATACAACTAACTAGAGGTTAAACTAGGAAACTAAATCTCCCAAAAAAACTAATCCTATAATTGAGTGATTGTCTATCCTAATTTTTTGTTCTTAATTCTAGAGATACAAATACTTAATTCTAGCGATACAAATATAAATATACAGATTACAAGATTACAACTAGCTGCAAATAAGTGTTTTCCCACACTCTCCCCTTCAAGCTAGTGAAAAGGTGTTTTTCATTCCCAGCTTAAAAATAATTTCTTGAAATGTTGCATTGCTGAGACTTTTAGTCAACACATTTGCAAATTGACCCTTGGTTGATACATAAGGTGTACAAATCAACCCACTGTCTAGTTTCTCCTTTATGAAATGCTGGTCTACTTCAATGTGTTTTGTTCTGTCATGTTGCGCAGGATTGTGTGCAATGCTTGTTGCAGAGTTGTTATCACAGTACTCTCATTGGTTCATCCCACTTAATCTTCAAGTCTTCTAAGATAATCTTTAATCATAGTAGTTCACAAATTCCTTGAGCCATTGCTCTGAACTCTGCTTCAGCACTTGATCTTGCCACCACATTTTGTTTTTTACTTCTCGAAGTCACAAGATTATCACATAAGAAAGTATAGTAGCCTGAGGTGGATCTTCTATCAGTTACTGAACCGACATAATCAACATCTGTATATGCTTTTAGAACTAGCCCCGAATTTCTTTTAAATAAGATACCTCTCCTAGGATTGGCCTTCAAATAGTGCAATATACGGTAGATAGCCTGTAGGTGCACTTCTTTAGGACTATGCATAAATTGACTTACCAATTGACTTACCACACTCATAGCATATGCTATATCAGGTCTAGTATGTGAGAGATAAATGACTCTTCTAACTAATCTTTGGTACTTCTCTCTATCTACAGCAGCATCTTTATTAGCTTCTCCAATTTTATGATTAGGATCTATAGGGGTATTTGCAAGTTTACATGTACGCTTTCCGGTTTCCTTCAAAAGATCCATCCCATATTTTTGTTGTGAGATGAAGATACCATGCCGTGAGTGAGCTACTTCAAGTCCTAGGAAGTGCTTCAATCTCCCTAGCTCTTTTATCTCAAATTCTTTAGCCAAACACTGTTTTAAAGATTCTCTCTCTTTTTCATCATCTCTAATTACAATTATATCATCAACATACATTAATAGAACTGTGATTCTCCCTGAATCAGAGTGCTTAATAAACAATGTGTGATCTCCTTGACTCTGTTTATATCCCATGCTAGCATCACTTTGGCAAATCTCCCGAACCAAGCCCTAGGAGACTGTTTAAGGCCATATAAAGCCTTTTTCAGCCTGTATACTTTGTTTGCTTCTAGCTGAGCTCCAAATCCTAGTGGAACCTTCATATTTATTTCTTCTTCCAAATCACCATGTAGAAAAGCATTCTTTACATCAAATTGTTGAAGCTGCCAATTGTAATTTGCAGTCAATGATAATAAAATCCTAATTGTATTCATCTTGGCAACTGGAGCAAAGATTTCCTGATAATCCACTCCATAGGTTTGAGTGTAGCCCTTAGCCACTAACATGGCTTTATACCTTTCAATAGTATCATCCGCCTTGTATTTTATAGTGAAAACCCATTTACACTCCACTGGATTTTTTTCCTTTAGGCAACTCTATTAGTTCTCATGTTTGATTTTTCTCTAAGGCCTCCATTTCTATTTTCATGGCTTGCCTCCATTTCTCACTGGATAATGCCTCAGATAATATAGTTGAAACAGAAATAGTGTTTAGGCTCACAAGAAAATTTTTGTAGGATGGTGAGAATTTTTCAAATGACACAAAATTAGAGATTAGGTATAGTGGATGCATAGTACATTCTCTAGTTCATTTCCTAATGGTAATAGGCAGATCATAATACTAGTTATAGTTTTAGGAGATTCATGCTCATTTTGAGAAATAGAGTCAAAAATTGTAGTTACCTCATTTCTAGAGTTAGGATCAGGTTTTTAGATTGGCACTGGTTCAAGATCTGGAGCTTTCCTTCTTGAGTACACCTGTAATTCCTTCATAGAATCAAGAATAATATTATTCTTTGTCACATCTTCTGTATTTGGAATGGGTTTAGACTCAAATTTAGTGTTTGACTGGGGCTCAGCAGAAACAGATTTCGACTCAGAAGAATTAATGGGTGAAAATGTTGAAGAAGGGGACAAATCAAGCAAAATGAAGTCTTTATCCTTATCTTCCATGAATGAAGTCTCTCCCTGAAGATAAGGTTGAGTAAAAAATGGTTTACTTTCTTCAAAAGTGAGATCTGCAGACATATACAATTTTTTGGTAGGAGGATGATAGCACTTATATCCTTTTTTAGTTGAGGAATACCCCACAAAAATACATTTAATCGTTCTTGGATCCAACTTTCCCTTGTTATGACTGTGTACATGAACAAATGATGTACAACCTAATATCCTAGGTGTGAGATTGTTTTTGGTATTAAGGTTGGGATAAAATTGTGAGAGTAGTTCCATAGGAGTTTTAAATCCCAAAACCCTTGAAGGTAACTTATTTATAATGTGTGTGGCAGTGAGAACAGCTTTCCCCTAGTAAGATTTAGGTACATTTGCTTGAAAAAGAAAGGCTCGGGTTGTGGCTAGTAAATGGCTGTTTTTCCTCTCTGCCGCTCCATTTTGCTGTGGAGTATTAACACAAGATGACTCATGAATAATCTCTTCTTTTTGGAAATAGGTGGATAGACTTTGGTTAAAATAGTCTCTTGCATTATCAGACCTAAATATCTTGATTCTCACTCCAAATTGATTTTGGATCATGTTTTGGAAGCTTAAAAACATACTATTCACATCTAATTTGGATTTAAATAAAAAAATCCAAGAGACCCTGGTACAATCATCTATGAATGAAACAAATCATCTTGCACCAAAAATATTAGGAATTGTAGAGGGACCCCAATTGTCACTATGAATCAAGTAAAAAGGAGTAGAACTTCTTTTGTTACTAATTGAAAAAAACACATGTTTATGCTTTGCAAGTTTGCAAACATCACAATGAAAATCTTCGACATTTAATCCTTTGAACAAAGAAGAAAACATGTTTCTCAAAGTTCCAAAAGAAGGATGTCCAAGACAAAAATGATAAAACCGAATTTTATCTTTATTGGAAGATTTTTCAGAAAGAAATGACAAAAGTAAACTATTATTGATATTACTTGTGTTATTTGATGTCTCAAGATAGTATAGTACATCCTTCTCCTTAGCAAATCTAATTCTCTTCCCCGAACTTTGGTCCTGAAATTCACAATAAGAGGGACAAAAAGTCACTTTGCAATTCATATCTCTGGTAAGTTTTTGTATAGATATCAGATTAATAGACAATCCAGGAACATGAAGAATATTTTTGAGAACAAACGAGGGATTAACTTGAACATCTCCTAATCTTGCCACTGTAGTAAGTGAACCATCTACAACAACAATTTTCTTATTACTAGGACACAGGGTATACGTATTAAATTTTTGTGAGGAATGTGTCATATGGTCTGTGGCTCCTGAGTCAATGACTCAAGAACTCGTAATAGGGTTAACCAAGACATTTAATCCATGATAACCAGAAGCTTTACCTGAACTAGAGATCTTACCCAAGGAATATACCAGAGTAGGCTTTTCAAGGATTTTCAATAAGTTTCTCAGCTTTTCAATCTCTTCCCTATCTAACTCTCATTGTTTCTGAGACATCTGTAGTCCTTCGGTGATTTTTTCAGTTGACACTTCCTCAAATTGGGTGGTAGTGATATCTTTCTTTGAAAGGGTTCGGCAATGAAGGCCTAAAATAGAAGTCAGCAATGAAGGTTGAAAATTTTGCATCCCAAGAAGATCCTAAAGCTCTGATATCATGTGAAAAAATTAAGAAATAAAACTGTATAGAAAACTAAGAGAAAAACTGAATGTATATTAAAAAACTAGTCATTAAGAATTATACAAGAACCTTAGGTTTATATACAACTAATTAGGTGTTAAACTAGGAAACTAAATCTCCCAAAAAAAACTAATCCTATAATTGAGGGATTGTCTATCATAATTTTTTGTTTTTAATTTTACGGATATAAATACTTAATTCTAAAGATACAAATATAAATATACAGATTATAATATTACAACCAGCTGTAAATAAATGTTTTCCTCACCTTCTTTAATCCCGATAAGTTTGAATAGTAGTGCTTTTTTTTCCTTCATTTATTGTATTTCTTATCATTATACGTTATTCTGCAGAGATCCGGGGGCAGAGCAGAAGTTCAAGGAAATTAGCAATGCATATGAGGTAAGAGTTCTATGTTGTGTTTACGTTTGGTTTCATTTATTCGACTGAAATGCATCAGTCCCTATGGTCATATGATATCTGATCTTTGAGGCATAATATATTGCTTAGGTCTTGTCAGATGATGAGAAACGATCTCTATATGACAAATATGGGGAGGCTGGACTTAAAGGTGCTGGTATGGGAATGGGGGTAAGTTAATTCTACTAATGCTGAACAAGATCATTCATTGCAAAATTATATTCCTTGGGTTTTCTCAACATCTCATTATGTCATTTATGGGCTTTTTTTTTTTTTTTGGCCAATCATTGATGGCTTGTTTATTTTGTCAGGATTTTAGCAATCCTTTTGATCTGTTTGAGTCACTGTTTGAGGGCATGGGTGGTATGGGTGGCATGGGCATGGGTGGCCGAAGTTCCAGGAATAGAGCAGTTGATGGGGAGGATGAAATTCACTATCTCGTATTGAATTTTAAGGAAGCAGTTTTTGGAGTTGAGAAGGAGATTGAAATAAAAAGACTAGAAAGCTGTGGAACTTGTAATGGGTCAGGTGCAAAACCTGGCACAACACCCTCGAAATGCACCACATGTGGTGGGCAAGGCCAGGTGGTCTCATCTACAAGGACTCCATTGGGTGTCTTCCAGCAGGTAATGACATGCTCTTCTTGTGGTGGGACAGGGGAAATCTCTAACCCATGCAATACGTGTTCTGGTGATGGGCGGGTAAGGAGAACGAAGAGGATCAGTTTGAAAGTGCCAGCTGGTGTGGATTCTGGTAGCCGTTTAAGGGTCCGGTCCGAAGGCAATGCTGGAAGGAGAGGTGGGTCACCTGGTGATCTCTTTGTTCGTATTGAAGTTATCCCAGATCCCGTCCTAAAACGTGATGATACCAACATATTGTATACCTGCAAAGTGTCATATATAGACGCTATACTGGGAACAACAATCAAGGTTCCGACAGTGGATGGTATTGTCGATTTGAAGATACCAGCTGGGACCCAGCCAAACACCACCCTTGTAATGGCAAAGAAAGGTGTCCCCGTTCTAAATAAGAGCAACATGAGGGGTGATCAGTTGGTCCGCGTGCAGGTTGAAATTCCAAAAAGATTGAGCAGTGAAGAGAGGAAGCTTATTGAGGAGCTTGCTGACTTAAGCAAGGGCAAGACAGCAAGCAGTAGGAGATAGTATACACCGATTATGTTCATTTCCCCCGGAAGATGTATTCACTGTCTGGTGTGTGCAGCTTCCAAAGTTAGAACTTCAGTACTTGCAAAAAATATTTTTCAGTTCTCAAATGCTTGAATTGCCAAAGGGGAAAGCGGCTGAAATTTGTAGTCTTATATTGTGATAGGTTTGTTCCATATAAAGAAATCTTTACGGAAACATTGGAGGTGAAACAGGAGACGAAGATTAGAGATAACCCCTTCTTTGATTTTGTTTTATGTTTGACTGCAGTCTTTTATTAGCTATTCTTTGAGATTGAACTAAAATTTGGGGAACAATGTTACCCTTCAATTTTGTCTGACTTTTGATGAATGAACATCGAATCTAATGCATCCAAATGCATACTAAAAGTTCTCTCATTCATTATCAGGTAATAATGTCTTTTTCCTACAAAATTTCAATTTTACATTAAAAAGAATGCACGAAGACATCCTTGGGTATACTGATAGTTCTCTACTTTCTGATCAATTGTTCGACAGAAATGGATGGTGAAATGCATGAGCAAAGGAATTACATTCAAAAGATTACCAGTCCGCAATGAATATGTTAAATAACATATACTATTAATGCATTGCATTGCCTGCTAGTATTCCAGAACAATTCTTATATTCCCTTTCCATTTCTGGACATAGCTAGTTTGCCTCGTGTAAAGCCTTACGACAGTATATTTTAAATTCCTTTACACACAAGAAATACATTTCATTTTCTTTTCTTATACTATTTTCATGGTTTTAAGGTTCCATATCATGTTGATTTCAGATTGACGTTCATGATTTAGTATTAGAGTTCTTTTTTCTTACCGTCATTTTGTTAAATTCACTTTCCACCCTTTGAATGTGATCATTCAATATCATATTGCTATTTGATCACGATATTTTAGCATTCTTATACTCCTTAGGGCTTGGGATTTGACATGAAAGTTTTGGGATTTTAGCAGCTTTGTAATATTCTGAACTTAATTATTTTCAGGCAAGTTGCATGCCAGTTCTAGGCCAGGAAAGAACTGACAAAGACAATTGGAAAGACTGAAGCAGCTTTCTTGTCTCTTGGGGCCATCAAATGGTAAGAGAGGTAGAGATTGATATCTTCTCTTAGACGTTGGAAGGTGCATTTAGTTTAATTCATCAACTTCCAATGGCGGATTTTACAAAGCACAACTACAACTCTTTTAACGAAATCAAACAACAGAGACAGGCTTCAATGGCATATTCGATAGAGCATTATACACACTGCTGATAAGACAGGAGCATTTGCTAGGTGATGTCTGTTGTCTGTTTATGACTGGTTTGCTGGCTTCGAGGGTTGGAGTTTGTTGCTGTGCAGTTGTCTTATAGTAAACTGATATTTCATTCTGTTTTGTCTGATTGAATCTATATTCCACGACAGTTGTTAGTTTACCATGTCGTTCAAACTAGAGCATAAGAAGATATTTAGAGGATGAAATTCTTGTTTGAACTGTCCCGCTCATTCGAATGGCAAGAAAGCAGGAAATTAGAGAGGAAAAAACAAACTTTCTTTTATTACATTTGTAGCTGCTGCATTCAATCTCAACTGCTCAATTGGAAGCAGGCGGCGTTCAAGGGTCAGGATTCCATAAGTGGTTCGGAAATTTTAAATGGAAACAAGGGTTTGAAGGCAAACAAGTTCTTGCAATTTCTTAATGGTACAAGGCGTCCAACAACAGGAAGCTAGAAGTCGCAGCCCTCATATTTAATTACTGGAAAAACCCGAGCCAACTTCCCATAAGCTTAGAAATTCAGGCTTAATGCAGATTCCTTGATTTAAAAATATGAAAATCCGATAAAAATATATGGTTCAAGTCATCTAGTTAGGATCAAAACATCATCTTCTATAAATACTACATAAATTAGGAACTGGAATTCATTCTGGTTCTAAATATGGGTTCGCTCAACAAACCTCATGCAGTCTTTGTCCCATACCCAGCACAAGGCCATGTAAACCCATTAATGCAGCTAGCCAGGCTTTTACATTCCACAGGCTTCTACATCACCTTTGTTAACACTGAGTTTAACCATAGGCGTTTCGTCAGGTCCAAAGGACCAGGCTTTGTCAAGGGTCTGCCTGATTTTCAGTTTAAGACCATACCTGATGGGCTGCCGCCATCAGATCGGGATGCAACCCAAGACATTTGGGCCCTATCTGATTCAGTTCAGAGACACTGCTTGGTTCCATTTAGAGAGCTGCTAGCTAAGCTAAATTCTTCAGCAGAACCCCCCCCCCCCCAGTTAGCTATATTATCTCAGATGGGTCCACGACCTTCACCATCAAAGCAGCTAAGGAACTGGGCATACCTGAAGCTCAATTCTGGACCACCTCAGCTTGTGGTTTCATGGCATATTTACATTTCACTGAACTCATGCGAGGAGGCATTGTCCCATTTAAAGGTACATATTTCTTACTAATGAAGAATCACTCAACCGAAAGCCTTGGTTAATAACAAAAATGTCGTTTGCTACTTTGAAAGTACGAGGATTTCGTTCTTCAACTAACTTAAATCAATCTTATATATAACAGGAAACCGTGGTTAGTAACAAAGATGTTCATATTTTGATGTGTTTTCAGATGAAAACTTCATCAAAGATGGTACAATGGATACACCAGTCCCTGGAGTTCCGGGTATGAGCAACATGAGGCTCAAGGATTTCCCAACATTTATCAGAACCACCGATCCAAGTGCCATAATGTTAAATTTCATGAGTGAAGAAGCACAAAATTGCTTAAAATCTCCTGCAATCATTTTAAATACATTTGATGAGCTAGAGCATGAAGTACTAGAGGCAATTGCTGCCAGGTCCCCCAACATTTATACCATAGGATCCCTTTCCTTGCTGGAAAAAAAGCATACGCCTTTCAGCCAAGCTGAGTCTCTCAGGTCTAGCTTGTGGAAGGAGGATTCCAAATGTCTCAAATGGCTTGATAATAGAAAATCTAACTCGGTTTTGTTTGTAAGCTATGGCAGCATTACTGTGATGTCAGAACAACACTTCAAAGAGTTTGCATGGGGGCTTGCAAATAGCAAACACCCATTTTTAAGGGTGGTAAGGCCTGATGTGGTTATGGGGAATTGTGGTATCTTGCCCGAAGAGTACTATGAAGAGATTGAGGACAGAGGGTTGATAGTGAATTGGTGCCCGCAAGATCAGGTACTTTCTCACCCGTCAGTAGGTGCCTTTCTTACACATTGTGGATGGAATTCTACAGTGGAAAGTATCAGTGGAGGAAAGCCTATGATCTGTTGGCCTTTTTTCGATGAGCAACCCACAAATTGTCTATATTTATGCACTATCTGGGGAATCGGTATTGAGATTAGCCCTGATGTGAAGCGTGATGAAGTTACAACTCTTGTGATGAAAATGATGGAAGGGGACAAAGGCAAGAAAATGAGGAACAAAGCTTTAGAATGGAAGAAGAAAGCAGAAGAGGCTATTAATATTGGAGGGTCATCTTACAATAATTTTAATAAATTCATCGAAGACATCCTAGGATAAACTGAACCTCAAGTCCTGACTCTTGTTTTTTGTTCGGATTTCAGAAGTCCTTGTATCCCAAGCCTTTGGGTGTGTCAAATTTGCTGCATGCCTCAGTGCTGTATTGTTTTTGTATCATTCTTCTGGATCATTAATTGAAATCAAAATGTGCATACAAGTGATAAACCAAAGGGTCCAAAATTCACCCACCTAATCTTCCAAAAATTTAGGCAGTTTGCTTAAGTAAAAAGTTACAGATTCTTTGAACATATTTAAATTGCTGCAAACGTCAGAACAAAGCATTTGACAGAAAGTTAAACCACATGAAAGGGTCAGTTATTATTACAAAACATAAGAAGAGTATAAACCCTTGTGTCAGCTGGTCGGAATGAATGAAGGAATGATCTCCTCATGCAAATTCGGATACTTAAGACAGAACTATGTTTTACTATCCTGTTTTATTTGCAGAAAGACCAGATCCACATAAAAGCTGCTTGTTCACGTGTAGTGAACTGATTTGTCATTCATAAATCAATTATTGGTCATTCTCTTCTTGTCGATGGCTTCCAATTTATTGATGTTAACGTCTCCTTTATTTGTCTACCCAATATTAAATTCTGCTGGCCTACTCTTGGTGTTGCCCGTGGCCGTGGGGTGTGCATATTTGCTTAATTGTGAATCCTACAATTCAACCCTGGCTTCATCCACCTTGAATGGTCGATTCATTTTCCATTAATGAATCATAGTTATGTGTAGATGAAAGAAAATCATCAATTTGGTTGAGGTGAAGAATATCTAGTCAGATTATAATTACTTGGGATTCCTAAATATCTACATATTTTAACAGTAAGGAATATTTAAGAAAGAATCAGTATCCTCGAAAATTAATTTGGAGACTAGCAACTGAATTGCCCCATTTTTTCCCATTTGAAGAAGAGGTGACACAATTATCGTTCATGGAAGCAAAAGTTTGTACTCATGACCCTCCAACTATTTACAATTATAGTTGAATAACTTTCATCCATTAAGATTCTCAAGGGTATGATTTTTTTTTGTTAAAAAAAAAGTAGAAAGGAAGAAAAAATAAAAGTAAAAATAAAGTAAAAAACGAAAAGCAAAGTACCGATCAAATGGAATCTATGTATTTTTTTTTTTTAATTTTTTAAATAATTCAAAATTTTTTTGTCGTATCCAGATAAACTTTTATGATTTGTCCAAACATAGATTTTTTTTCTATGAAAAGATGCCACATATGTCACGTTATTTTAAAAGCCATTGGACTGCTATTTTTTTTTTTTTTTGTGCACCTCTAATAATAATGTGATTTTTTTTTTATGTAACGAAATTGATGTGAGTGAAAATTTTTTTCTTTCAAATTATTTTAATTAATCAATTTTATCAATCTTAAAAAAGAAAAAATTCATGTTATTTGTCATAAGTAGGAATAACGATGTTTGACTATTGACTTCATGATCGTTAAGACTTTAAGATCACACTGTCATGTCATATTTTTTATCAACATACATAATTTATCTTAGATAAATCATAAACTAGCCAGAGGCCAAAATAATAATTAAAAAAAATTAAGATAATTTAAAGGCTTATTAAACACTCACAACATTAATATGATTAGGCATAACAGAATTGAATTTAGATTGGAATATTGCTTGATATAAAGATACACTTTGACGATGTTGATTACACATGCCCCACTAAAAACTTAAAAGAAATCCCTTCAGCTGAAGCTAATACAAGAAGAAGAAAGAAAGAAATCCCTTCAGCTGAAGCTAATACAAGAAGTAGAAAGAAATACGGGTCGAGAACAGAGTGAAATGCAGAGGCAACGAAGTACCCCAGTGATTATTTAAGTAGTTGTCTGCTCTTGGGCTTTGGTCTTCAACAGACCTTAATGTTCAATAATTATAGAAATTAGAGAGCTTCTTTGATAAATTTATCAAAATCATTGTAAGATGATCCACCGACATCAGTGACTGCTTCCGCTTTCTTCTTCCATTCCAAAACCTTCTCCTTCATTTTCTTTCCTTTATCCCCTTCCAGCATTTCCTTAACTAGAAACTCAATGTTCTCTCGCTTCACATCAGGATCAACCTCCATTCCAATGCCCCAAGCGGTGCAAGCATAATGACAATTTGTTTGTTGATCAGCAAAAAATGGCCAACAAATTACAGGGACACCTCTACATATGGCTTCCAGGGTAGAATTCCACCCACAATGTGTTAGAAAAACACCAACTGAAGGATGTGAAAGAACCTGGTATTGGGAGCACCAGCTTGTTATCAATCCTCTATCCTTAATCTCCTCCAAATACTCTTCAGGCAGAACCGCGGAATCACCCATCACAACATCTGGCCTAACAATCCATAAAAATGGGTGCTTACAATTAGCAAGCCCCCAGGCAAATTCTTTCAGATGCTGCTCTGACATGACAGTCACGCTACCATAATTCACGTACACAACTGAATTGGGCTCCTTTTTGTTAAGCCATTCAATACATTTTGTGTCTTCTTTCCATAGGCTTGAATTTATTGACTTGGATGGACCGTCAGGTATGTGCCTGGCAAGCAAGGGAAGTGGCCCTGTTATATAAATTCGAGGGAATTTGGCAGCGATTGCTTCTAAAACTTCATGTTCAAACTCATTAAATGTGTTGAAGATGATTGCTGGAGCTTTTAGGCAATTGTGGGCTTCTGATCCCATGAAATCAAACATAATATCATCTGGATTGTTGGCTCTGATAAAGCTTGGAATATCTCTGAGGCGAAGGTTACTCATTCCCGGGATCCAATCAATTGGTGTATCAAGAGTGCCATCAGTAAGAAAATTTTTGTCTAATACAAGCAAGAACAAAATTTCAGGTTCCATAGACAATTTTCATAGCTGCAATTATATACAGATCATAATTTCACAGGTGAAGATCACTTCTTATAAAGTCAAAGTCAAAATAAAACTTACTTTTGAATGGAATAATGCCTCTTTTAAGTAGTTCGCTGAATTGCAAATATCCCATGAAGCTACAAGCTGAGGCAGTCCAAAATTGAACTTCTGGTATGCCTAGCATTTCAGCAGCCTTAATAGCAAAGCTCATAACTCCATCCGAAACTATGCAAGTAACAGGCAACGCTTGGGGTGACGAATTTAACTTGGCTAGTAGCTCTAAAAATGGAGCCAAACAATTCTTTCGTGTTGAATCACATAGAGCTGGAACATCCTGTGTTCCATCATGATCAGAGTATGGCAGCCCATCCGGGATTGTTTCGAACCGGAAATCAGGCAGACCTTTAACAGAGTCTGGCCCTTTGGATCTGATCAAGCGCCTATGGTTGAACTCAGTGTTAACAAAGGTTATGTGGAAGCCCCTTGAGTGTAAGAGCTTAGCCAGCTGCATCATGGGGGTAACATGGCCTTGTGATGGATATGGAACGCATACAGCATGGGGATTTCTGGTTTGAAATGAACCCATCTTAGTAAAGCAACGAGATACTTGAAAATAATCAGGGTCTCTAAGGGGAAATGGATTTTCCTAGCTTTTGTGAAGCTTTATAGGCAGCCAACCTACTAGTCCTAAGTACTAGGATTAAAAAAAAAGAAAATATCTTGAATGAAACAGACAAAAGTTCAATGATTGATACCGGGTAATAAATTCATGGTCGGATATAATATTATTGATAGAATAAAATAATAATTATTATATATTATATTTAATTTATATCTAAAAATATATATATTAAAAAGATGTTTAATATTTTTTTGATATAAAATTATTTATTTATTTTACTTAGAAAGTATTTTTATAATTCATTAGATTAAATTTATATATTTAAAAATTATATCAATAATTTAAATTATGTAAATTTTTAAAAAATAATTTTAATAAATAAATAAATTATTTTATGATTATTTTTATATATATCAAATATAAAATAAAATAAAATAAAATAATTTAATTTAATTTATAATATTATGTTATTCTATCATATTATAATTTTATATATCAAATATGACATATTAAGTTATGTAATATATTTTCACATGATTATCTCATCCTTTTATATCTTTTAAATATTAATAAAAGTAATTAATTTTTTTTTTAAAAAAAATAATGATCGTCTTGATATTTTTAAAGAGTGTATATAACATATTTTTTTATAATGTTTCACAATATTTTTTTAAAATAGAATAAAGATTTATGGTTGATTCAGATTATCCCTACCTTACATGTTTTATTGTTTGTTTTCTCTTATTCCTCGACAATCCAAGAAGACAAAAAAGTAAAGAAAAAAACAAAAAATGTAAGAGATAAAAGCTGTGGAAAGAAAAGAAAAGAAAAGACAACCCTTCTTGTAATCATCGTGTAGATATCCTTTTAAGAGATGTGGTAAGATGTACGAGGAGATTTCCTGGCAAATCCTTGTGGACTAACATGCTTATCTATCTATTCTAATAGAATTAATCAGTATAAATTTCATTAAATTCTTTAAACAACCTAGTTAATTACAAGAAATGGTGGGAACATTTCAATCGGCTGCCGCTCGAATATCATCAGCTCCCTAAAAAAGTTGTATTAACGATAACAAAATGGACACATCAATCTTTGTCTTGAAGTTCATATTAGGTGTTGCTAGGTATGAAAATAATGTTAACGCATATAATAAAAACATTCCGCATTAATCGAGTTTAAAACATTTTGAGCATATAATTATAAAATTAATTATATTTTTGATATTTGAATTTTTAAAAAATATATAAATTGATATTTAAAAAAATAATATGTACAATTCACATCATAAACTTTCAAATAACATATTATTTTAATCTAAGTTTTAATATTGTTAATTTAATTTATTTTTACGATATTTAACCAGTATAATTTTATTATATACATGTTATTTGCTAAATAAAAATATTAAATATTTTGTAAAACCTTTTATATTGATGTCATGTGATAAAAAAAATTGATTTATCTTAAACAACAATTACAGTTCAAATTTTTTTTTTAATTTATATTAAAAAATTATTGATAGTATATTTAGTGAATACATAATTTGATAATATTAATTAAACGCTACATATATAAGCTAATGTCGTTAAGAGGATTAAAATTTGGATTAATATGATTTATAATTTGAAAGTTCAAGGTAAAAATTATATATTTTATTTATTTAAGTTATCAATTTATATATTTTTCTAAAATTTATATACCCAAAATATCATAATTATAATAAGAATCTTTCATTTATAATCATTATATTTAAATTAAATATCTGTCTTAAAATTTAAAAATTTACATGCAAATACAAAACTGAATATTACTTAACAAGCATGAAATAAAATTGTAAAATGGTGCACTTTTGATTTTAGTGCCATAAAAAAAATTGTAAACATTATCTATATATTTAAAGTTGTAGATTTTGAAAAGAGAGGTATCCACGTGGTACCCTTCCATTCCGCTAAAAACTTACCTTTTTTTTTTAGTTTTTTACTTTATTTTTATTAAATTTATTTTTAATTTTTAATTTATTTTTAATTTTTTTATTAGATAAAATTTAAAAAAAAATCAATTGAGGTATGGATGATAAAATAGTTCGTATCTAATTAGTTTCAATTCGTATTATTATCATAACGTATAAATCTGTGGATCTATCGCTAGACATAATTTAAAGAAGTTACCGTCAATCTTTTTTTTGTTTAGGTGTGATTGATCATTTGATTAAATCTATCATATTTAAAGAGGAGTTTAAGATTGACTTAAGTATCGTTAAACAGTAGATTTTGATCTACAAAATCAAAGTTAGGTTTAGGAGGACGATTACATGTGGAGAAGATTATAGCACCTTCATAGCCTTCAATCAAAAGATGATATCAGTTTGATTTCAAATTATCCAAACCTTAAAAAATATTAATGCTTTTACCAAAATATTAAATATTAAATATTAAAATTAGTTTTAAAATTGTCCTAATAGTTTTGGTAACAATTTAAAATAATTCTCCTATCTCAGAAGTATTCACAGAGACTAATGTCTCACTTTAAAGAGGCTCCGTTGTCGGATTTATTAATTTATTTATTCTAAAAAATTAGTAAAGTCTCCTTATAGTTTGGTAGGACTTACTTTGAAGTAGATCTCCTAATAGTTTGGTGAGATTTTATTATAAAAAAATTTACAAAAATTTTAGAGAATTTCATTAAATCTTCTAATACTTTAGTAAAACTTAATTTGAAGCAATCATCTAATAATTTAGAGGATAAAAATTATTTTTTATTAATTTATGAAATTTTTCAATAGTTTGATGAATTTCATAAGATTTAAATCCATGAAAATTCTTTAATAGTTTGGTAGGATTCATGAATTTCTTTGAAAAAGTTTTTTTTTCTATTATTTGAAAAGATTTTTTTATTTTTTTATTTTTTTATTTTCAAAAATAAAACAACAGAATGAATTTTTACAATATAATAAAATTTCTCAAATAAAAGTGAAATTAGTAAAACAATAAAAATTGAAAATAAAATAAAATAAAATAAGCTTAAAACAAAATCAAAAAATAAAAATAATATGAAAAAAAAAAAACATGTGATCGGGTCAGGTCAAAGTGCAAATTGGTGCACGGGTCAGCAAGTCAATGCACGGATCTGGGACTTGCAAAATGATGTCATTTTAGGGCGGTATAAAAGCTACTCCCCAACGTTTTTGTCTTAGAAGCCTTTGCCCCTTCTCTTTTTAGACTTTGTTTTCTCTACCTTTTCTCTAGGATAGTTAAGAACACCTACCAAAAACTTTAACCGAAAATTGAAAAACCCATTGGTTTCTAGAAAGTCATAAAAAAATTCAACCAAAAATTAAAAAACTCATCGATTTCTAGAAAAGCTATCGTAATCCCACCAGAAAATTCAACCTCTCATCAAAAAATTCATGTTCTTCCTAAAAACCCAAAAAATCTCAAAATTTTTCAAAAAAAAAACTTGAACCTTGCCCAAATTTTCTTAGAAAACTCTCAAAATTCCACTTTAAACTCTAAAAAAATTGAATATCAACCCAAAATTCCAAAACTTTTCCAAAATCGAACTCTAGAACCCTACTACTAGAAAATTTCCTAAATTGTTATCACCAACAATTGGCTACCATTCTAGTATGTGTTGCACCTTTGATCTTTAGTTCAATTTATAGGTAGCTTTTAGGAGCATCTTTAAGAAACGGACAGAATCATCCCAAGCTTAAATCTTGGGATTGATTTCTATCCAAGTATGACCCTTGGTCCCAATTGATTTTAGCAGTTATTCTGATCCGATTTGGGATTAAAAACCTTAACTATGTTGATGGGATTTTGATTTGACATTCTGATTCCTTTATTCACATGCGGATTGGAACAAAAGGAAAAAAGGAAAAGAAAAAATGATAATAATAATAATGATGATGATGATGATGATGATGATGATAATGATAATATAATTGTAATAATAATATAATATGGTATAATAACAATGATAAATATAGTAATAAAAATAAAATAATAATGCTAATATATTATATTATATTATATGATATAATAACACTAATAGTAATAATACTACTATACTAATATTATACTATACTACCATAACAATATACAAAAAGAATTAATCTCAATTAACCCCAAACACAGATAGGTGTCTATAATTGTCCCTCTTTGCATATCACTGTTAGACATAGATGATGCAAAGACCTAGACACCTGCTCTGTTCGAGTCAAATTAACGAGAAAAAATGATCGAGATTGAATCACGAGTCAAGAAGATGATCTGAATTAAGTCAAAATCGAATGACTAGGATGATGCCATGTGTCTGAAAGTGACCAAGATCGAGTTGAGATCATTAATGAATGATAGGAACGATGGCGTGAGTCTGAAAGCTACCAAGACCTAGTATAAGTCATAGATAAATGACCAAGATGATGCTGTGAGTCTGAAAATAATCTAACCTGAGCTAAAATTGGTTGACTGGGATAATGTTGCTAGTCTGAAAGTGACTAAAATCGAGTCAAGGTCGTAGATGAATAATCAAAACAATGTCATGAGTCTAAAAATAATCTAGCCTAAGTTGAGATCGGATGACTGAAACAATGCCACGAGTCTAAAAGTGACCAAGATCGAGTTAAAGTTATAGATGAATAATCAAAACGATGCTATAAGTCTGAAAATGATCTATCTTAAGCCAAGATCGAATGACTGGGATGATGTCGTGAGTCTAAAAATAATCAAAATCGAGTCAAAGTCATAGATGAATAACTAGGACGATGTCACGAGTTTGAAAATGATTTAACTTGATCCGAGATCGGATAACTGGGATGATGTGGTGAGTTTGAAAATAACCAAGATCAAGTTAAGGTCATAGATGAATAATCGAGATGATGCGATGAGTTTGAAAATGGTTTGACATAAGCCAAGATTGGATGACTAGAATGATGATGTGAGTATAAAAGTGACTAAGACCTAGTCGAGATTGTAAATGAATAACAGAGATGATGTTTTAAGTCTAAAAATGATCTGACTTGAGTCAAGATAGGATGACTGAGACAATGTTATGAGTCTAAAAATGATCAAGATCGAGTAGAGATCATAGATGAATGATCGAGATGATATCATA